CCCCGCCCACGGGGGGGGGAATGCCTGCGCTCTTGGGGGGGGAGGGCGAGCGGGTTTTCCCTCCGCTTCCACCTTGGCGGAAGAGGCGAAAGGAAGGGGGGGATTTTGCAGCGCAGCTCCCGCCGTCCCGGAGCCGTTGCGGGCGGCGGGTCCCCGCCTCGATCCGGGGCTGTTAATTGGAAAGTGGAGGCGCGCCTGAGCTCGCGCGAGGCCCCCTGTGCGTCCACGGACTCTGCTGGGGGAGAGCCGGCCTCCTCCCAGCTGTCCGGGGGGCCTTTCTGCGTTTTTCCTGGCTTGATATTTTTTTTATTAGTTTATCCAAAAACAAAATCTAAAGAAATGGGAAAATAGGGGAGGAAAAAGTGTAAGGTAAAGAGAAAAAGAAGAAGAAAGCATTGACTTTGGATTCGCTTTGGCGCAGTAGAATAAGATAACTTAACAACCTCAACTTTTAAATTTTACATAATACTGTGGTGTATATTAGCCTTTTCTATTACAACACGCCCATCTAATCAGCAAAACCCAAAAACAGAGTTTCATTTTTTTTCACTTCATGCACAAAGTCCAAAAGTGGTTTCCAAGTAAAAACAAAATTATTTGTGTTCTTTTCTTTAATTAAAACAGTCATTTTAGCCATCTCTGCTAACTCCATCAACTTTTGCAGCCATTGATCCATTGTGGGAATCAAAAAGTATCCTTTCATTTTTGTGCATAGAGTATTCTTGCTGCTGCCAGCATATATTATCATTAAAAGTTCTAGGTTTTTTTTCAATTCTTTATCCATTAAGTCCAAAAGAAAACTCTCTGGGTTTAGCTTTAATTATACTTTCAGAATCTTCTGTATTAAGATGTGAATCCTACTCCAATTATTTCTTTGCTTTATCACGTCCACCATAAACGGTAAAAAGTTCCTTCTTTATACATTTACATTTCCAACATTCACTTGAAGTACTTTTATACATTATTGACAATAGGTCCACTGTTAAGGTACCAATCGTACATTGTCTTATAAAAAATTATTTTAATTATAATTTAATGTAAATTTTAAATATTTCATCTGCATGTTTTCCTAGTGTTCAGGAATTATATTATATCCAAACTCTTGGCCCATGCTTTACAACAGGCATGTCAAACTGCCAGCCCGCGGGCCGGATGCGTCACACCGAAACCACGCCCACCCCATTGCCAGCAATGGGGGAAAAGTCCCGTTACATCACGTGACATCGCGAGTTTGACATGCCTCCTTTACATGCTCATTCTCCAAGTTCAATTTCAATAGCAATGTATAAACTTTAGTAATAGAATTTCCAATTCATTTCTTACAAAATCAAATTCATAGCTTTTTATCTATTTGAAATCTTTCTTTCAATTGGTAAATGTGTAAACCAATGATAAACACATCCTTCTAATTCCAACTCCTCTTTAGATTTGAGGATAGGGTCACCGTAAATGAAACATATTATTTGACCATAAGTCCACCTGTCTGGCCTCGCCACTATTCCTTTTCTTAAAAAAGGTTCCTGGGGTGACACCCAAAGGAGCATCTTTGCAGAGAACCTTACTTTATATTTATTCCAGTTCAATAAACAAAGTGGTTGTTGAAATCAACATTTACTTTAACCTTATCATACAATAAATAGGCAAGCCATCGGAATGTTAATTCTCAATCTGAATAAGTAAGTTATTTTGGAGAATCATCCACTCTTAGCCAGACCAAACAACAAGTATCAAAGTATAATTTCAAATCGGGTAAACCCAAACCTCCCTTTCCTTAGCATCTTGCAATAATTTGTATCTAATTCTTGGGGATTTTCCATTGCCATATAAATTTAGAAATGTCCATCTGCCATTGTTTAAATGGGGTATTGGTTATAAGTACTGGTAGAGTCTGAAACAGAAAAAGCATCTTTGGTAAAACATTCATCTTAATTAACTGGCTGGGGAATTCTGGGAGTTGAAGTCCACAAGTTGCCAAGTTTGGAGACCTCTGCCGTAATCAAGTGCAGTATTTCTTAAACTTTTTTTTTCAAAGATCCCTTTCCACTTTTAAAAATTATATAGGACTCAAAAAAGCTTTTGTTTATATGAGATATTTAGCAATATTTTTCTTATTAAAAATTACAATCGACCCATTTGTAGAACATTTATTGAAATGTAAAAATAACAATATTAAACTAGTAGATATTAATATAAAAAATCATTAAAAACTATTTTTAACAATAAGATTAGGAAGAGTGACATTTTTGCAAATATTTTCAATATCTGGCATGATAGAAAACAGTTGGATTTAATCTACTGAGAAATGTAGTTTTTGTTGAACTATATGAAGAAAATGCAGCTTCACACTTATATGTATTTGGAAAAGGGACAAGTACTGTATATGTTGATAGCCTTCTCAGATAATTGTGGATATTCTTCTTTGATACTACACCAAAACTCAACAAGTGATAGTTTCTCAAGATTAGCCACAAGTCAATGAACTTTTCCTATTTTGTTACATTAAAACTTAGTGGTTACACTCTAAATGGATCTTTGCCAGGCATGCTTTCATTATTTGGAAAATATTGAGTTTCCTGGAGTTTCGCTGTACATCTTCCAAATATTGGCTTATCTTGAAGGCCACTGTCAACGCTGCTAACATTGGATGTTTTTGCTTTGACAACAGATGGAAATACAACCATTTTCTTCTTATGTTTTACTCTTAGAGTTAGAGTTAGATGATGCTGGGGGGAGGAATGTGCATGAGAGTTTAGCTAGACATAACAATACTGGACCTAGTGTGTGAACCAAGGTTATTGAAATAAGAGATGATAAGAATTGGTGGGCTGGAGAACTGGAGGGAAAGCCTGCGTTTCAAACTAATTGGAGAATGTGATTTATGACTGTTAATTGGAGAAGGGAATTGTGCTTTGATGCTATGTGCTCAGGGGAGGGGAATCCAGTTTTTGGCTTCGATTGTGTTAGTGCCGATGCTATGCTTCTCGAATAAAGATCCTTTAAGGCAGTGGTTCTCAACCTGTGGGTCGGGACCCCATTTGGGGTCGATCGACCATTTCACGGGGGTCGCCAAGCAAGGCTGTCCGCCATTTTTTTTGTCTGCCATTTTTTTTGTCCGCCATTTTTTTCCCCTTTTCCGGCGGGTGCCTTACCTCCCTTGGGCTGGGCCAGCTGGTGGTCGGCCTGCTCTGTCTCTGCCGCTTGCCAGCTACGCCTCGGCCGGCGCAGGGGGCGGAACCACGCATGTGCAGCGCTCCCGGGCAGGGAAAGTCCTCGACTTACGACCGGTTGGGTAGTCCTCGACTTATGACCGGTTTAGTCCTCGACTTACGACCGGTTTAGTCCTCGACTTACGACCGGTTGGGGTCGCGGCATTAAAAAGGTTGAGAACCACTGCTTTAAGGTAAACAATGCCTCGAAGTTCTTTGAAGAGTTTCATCTGTGGGAACCATGACAGCCGCACTGCCACAAAACAGTCTAAAACCTACAAAACCCTTGCCATTCCCAGCCTCCCTTCAGGTGATCAGGCACCCTGATCAACTCAAAGCAGTCTTGCCATGTCCGGGGTCCCACAAAGAGGGAAGCAGGGATGAGCAAGGTGGCTGCTGGACCAGGGTCAGCTCTCTGCCCCCGCCTGCTTCTGCTGCTGCCATCCCCCAAGTCCTCCCATCCCCCAAGTCCTCCCAGGGCTCTTCTTCCACGGCCGGGTCCCCCACAAATGGAAGGCCCAGCCAACCGCCCTCCTGTTTCCAGAGTAGCCAAATGCCAGCTGGCCACCAGCTGCCTCCCCAGCGGCTGGCCAGGCGCTGCCCCCAACGCCAAAGCCAGCCAGTCTGTGGTCCACCATTCACCGTGCCGTCCCTCCAGGCCCTGCCCAATCAGCCTCGCGTGCTCAGATGGGGCCGGGCAGGGCTGGCGGTTCCTCTGCTGCCGCCTGAGTGTTTGGTGGGATTTTAATGGTGTATTATTTTCAACATAGGCTGGCAAATAATTTCAATTTCACAGACTCCTGGGAGGTCTTGTGTGAAGATCCTCAAATCACACATGGAGAAATAGCGATCTGGTATAATAGACACAATCTCATTAAAATTATATTTAGATTTAGCAGTTGTCAGTAGGACACATTTCTGCTTGAATGAGCTTAATGCAAATAATCCTGAACTTACAGTCATTCATTTAGTGATGGTTCAACGTTACAACGGCACTGAAAAAAGAGACTTATAACTTGGTCCTCACACATACAAGCATCACAGCATTTCCCTAGTCACAACATTTGGGCGCTTGACAACTGGTGTGCCTTTACAATGGTTGCCGCTTCCCAGGGTCCCACAATTGCTATTTGAAACCTTCCAGGGGGCTTCAGACAAGCAAAGTCAGTCACTCAACAGCTGCCTGAGTCACTGAACAACTGTAGTGATTTGCTTAACAACATGGTAAAAAAGTCATAAAATTGAGCATGGCTCACTTAATAACTGCCTTACTTAGTCATGTAAATTCTGGTCTCAGTTGTTATAAGTCAAGGACTACCCGTAACTCAATCCTGAGCAAGGATTATTAACATAACCCCTCTTTGTATCTAAGTTTTGTTTTTAAGTCTCCTACAAACTATAAGCTAAGTTGCCTTTTTATTATATATTTGTTTGTTAAATTTATCTGCCACCCATCTCGCTGTCGTATGACTCTGGGCGGATTACTGTGTCCTTTTGCCATTCAGGTGGCTTCAGTATTCACAGGGAAGATCTCCTCTGGATCTTTCCTGGGCCGTGTGGCCAAAGAGCTTTGCTGTTGCTGCTGCCTTCTGCCCATCTCAGGTCAGCCCGAAGCCCGGGGATTTCCTGCTGTTCCCCCGCAATTCCTCAGCAGGGCTCAGGGGCGTCTGTGACCCTTTCTGAGGAAATGAAACACTGTGTTGGAGGAGAAGATATGGGGCTTTGGGGAGATACCCATGTTTTTTATGTCTGTGTAGCTTGTATTCCAGATAGTGGCGAACGGAGCAGTTCAACATGGAGAAGGGAGCTGCGCTGCGTCTTACGCTGATCATCATGGCCGAGGTAAGAGTCAGCCCTGCGGATAAGACAAGTCACCGACTGAAGCTGTGGAAAAATGGGATCTATGGCAAACCAAAAGGCTCCCAGCAACGTTATGCTGCAAATGCCACTGTTGGGACTTGTGTCCCTCTCTCTGATGCAGGCAAGGAAGCCGCAGTCTTTGCGCGATGATGTGTTACATCCGGGTTGCCCTTGACTTGCCCACAGCTACCTGGGTAAGGGTTGGGACTGCCCCTTGGCAGCACCTGAGCCTACCTTGCCCCAATTCAGCACTGCAAGGGTGGTGAAGCCTCCCTGTTCTGTTCAACTTCAGAAAGACTCGATGCAAATCCTGTTCCTCTTGAAAAGCGCACAATTGTTTGTCAGCAAGCAGAAGTGGGGCTTGGGGACTATCTGGCTTTTCCTGAGGAAATCATTGTACCAAAACCGGCGGCTGTGTCTTCAGGTTCAGGTGCCAAGGACCCTCCGGTCTCTGCCCAGGTCTCCTGGGCTGATTTAGATTCTGAGTTCTCCTTCCACCACCAGGGACCATCTTTTACTTAAAACTGTTTTTAGGGGCAACTATATTTTTTCCAGAGGATAGAATTATCTTACTTATGTTGTTCCCCATTATTAGCCGAAAGGACCTATCACTCAGCATATTATTAATTAGTTGATAGAGATTTTTGCAGGGGATAATATGGCATAGTTTGTACAACTGTATAACCCGTCCTTCCAAACTGTCAAATGCTGCACTTCGGTCTATGAACGCAGCTGTGGTTTTGAGGCCTTGTTGGAATCCTGATTTCATATAGCCTGTTAGGCTTAACACATCATCTACGCCGCTCCGGTCTTGTCGAAAGCCGGCTTATTCCACGGGCAGATGTTCATCTATTATGGGACCTATCCTGTTTATAATTAATCTTTCCAGGAGTTTGAAGCAGGAGCTCAAAAGGGCAACTGGGTGGTAGCTTTCAACTCTGTCTTGTGGCTTGCCAGGCTTCAGAAGTGATATTATGTTAGCTTTTTTGAAGTCTGGTGGCAGGCGGCCGTTGGAAAATACGTTCAGAGAGGAATTTGCTGATCCAATTCCATGTGCGCCTCCTGGAGTTTATCAGGAATTCTGGATGAATGCCCGTCGAATTCCACTTTGCTCAGTCTCTCGTGTTGTGGAAGGGTTATTTGGCAGATGGTGCCCTTCCTGTCCCGCTGGCTCTGAAGGTGTGTTTCCCACCAGGCTCTCGCGTCCCAGTCCATGGCAAACCCCGTGGAATGCCGAGAGAGCGAATACCTGGACAATCACGGCAAATGCAGCCCCTGCAAGGAGTGTGGCCCGGGATTCGAACTTTCCAAGGTAATGTGAAGATGTACTTATTGTGCCTTTTCAGACGTTTGCGCCCCAATGGAATTTGCATAGGAAACTCTTTGAGTCTCCCACAGCAGTTTATGTCTGTAGTCTTCAACTTAAGCCATTTTATTTCAAATTAAATCAGTCAGGCGTTTTAAAAATTAAACTGTTGCTCCACTTTTTTCTTTTTTCCAAATTGGCATGCACTTTAGAATCAAACGTTCTTCCCTGACATTTTTAGTCTGTGGGATAAGCCCCAGTCCTGTCTTTCCATAATCTCTTCCTCCAAAAATATACATATTGTATTTACCTGAAAAAAGACCATTTCCTCCCACCCCCCAAATTCTTTAGCTTTAAAGCTGGCTTAGATGTTGTGTTTGCTGAGAATACAGTAAGGGTGGCAGATGTGCAGGTGGGCTGCTTTTGGCCAGGTGAAAAGACAGCTGTGAAGAGCGTGCTAGACAGATTGTAATCGTGAACATATTTTGTGAGAATGTTGGTGCTAAATTACCCTTATTGGAATAGGTGGAAGATGGTCACTCTGAAAGGTGTTTCGTGGCATTTCCTCTATAAAAGCTCCTTCACAGACATCCGCTCTCTCCCTCTCTGCCGTGATTCGTCTGTACGCGTCGCCAGAATAACAGCCGTGGGGTGCGTCTCTCTTGCAGGAGTGTGGCTATGGGGAAGGAAGAGAGGCCGGGTGCAGCCCATGCCAGCCCAGGAGGTTCAAGGACAGCTGGGGAGTGCACGGCTGCAAGTCCTGCCTCTCCTGCGCACTGATTAACCGGGCCCAGAAGTCCAACTGCAGCGCAACCTCCGATGCCACCTGTGGAGGCTGCTTCCCCGGGTAAGGCTGTCCAGCTCCACAGCACAGGGGCCTTTGGTCAAAACAGGAGCTCAAGCGGTAAATGCAGAATTGGGCAGCTATTGAAAGTCCATTTGTGGTTGTGACAGGATGCTTGAGTAAGTTACCCTATAAAATTACTTTTTTAAGAGCATCACCAGGAAAATCAAACCCTATGAGGGAAAGATGGACTGGGTTCTTTGAGATCTCCCAGCTTATTATACCCCTTGTGTTTAGTGTGATCATGATTGCTGTTCACAATGGTGTCGAATTGCTCCCATTTGTACACAATCTGCCTGGCAGTTGACCGAGAGAGTCCAAACTTTGGAAATCCCTTGGTAAACTTCTTTAGCCTGATGAGCAGCCATATTTCCATATTTCCCAGAGGCTTCAATTTAATAATAGTATAAACGTGATCATTACTCCAAATTTTCAGTAGCATGTTGAGTGCCATCTGATACGAGGGGCCTGACACAATATTGCCAATCACTTTATATTATTTAACCACGTGATTTCCTTGGAGTGGTTTCTCATTGTCTCCTCCCTTGCACTTGACAATGGATGCTTAGCAATTGTCACGTTTGCCTCCAGTGTCTTGCCAGCCCAGTTGGAATCGTCTTCACAACTGGGTGATCTTGTTGGGAATGGATAGTCTTGGCTCTCCTGTTGGTGTTCCTCCCTTGTCCCCCACAGGAACATCCCCTGCCCTGCAGAGCTTGAGTTCATAAATGTAGCACTATAACTATTTTTAATTTCTGAGAGACTAGACTGACTCAGGGGAGACTCGGTTTCCAGTTCAGCCTCAGCCACAGAAACTTCCTGAATGACTCTTTAGTCGGTCGTTCTCAGCCCAGCCAGAAGCAGAACTTTGTTTTTTGTGGGGAAAAACAAGAGGAAAGGAATATTGCATCCTGAAAGAAAGGTGGGGTGTAGATTTGAAGAATGAATAAATAAAATCATCAGATTTGTGGGGCAGCAGTATCAAATCAGGGAATCCGTGCTATGTTCAGAAAGTGGTTAGTTCATTCTGTGGGCTGCTCATAATCCTGCTTTTCCATGTGCCTAAGAAGACCCTTGTTCCAAGGAGTAACATTTGCATGCTGAGGACTGGTTGAGCTCAGGAAAAGCAGATGAACATGGGAGCAGGGTTAAAGCCAATTACTCACTTTTTTCCTTTGCACCTGGATCTTGGCACCTCCCTGTTAATTCAGTTCACTTTAGGCTGCTCTTTGCTATGTTAAATATGAACTGGCTTTATTTAATTGAATTTGTTTATGGATTATGAGCTGCTTTCATGATTAGATAGTCAGTGCACTAGAAATGATTTGGGGGTATGAACCAAGTCCTCAGTGCAGCAGGGGAGCAAAGTACCGGACGTGGCTGTAGTTAACTAAGAGTAATGGGCTTTGCAGACTTTGGGAAGCCTTGGTGCCCTCTGCCCATGTTCGATTGGTAAGTAGCCTTCCACAACTCCCCCATATTAAATAATGGCCCATTTTTCTTCCTCTTTATAGCTTCTACAGTAAAACTCAGATTGGTGGATTCCAGGACCTTGAATGTGTACCCTGCACAAAGCAGACCCCATCCTCTGAACAACAGTGTACGTACTAACTAGGCTTCTAGGAGCTACTTGTCCGTATTTTGCTTCAGGCCTCATCCTCCTCACAGAGTTCTACACCAGGGTCCCCAAACGTGGCAACTTTAAGACTCCCAGAATTCCATGGCTGGCTGAGGAATTCTGGGAATTGAAATCCACAAGTCTTAAAGTTGCCAAGTTTGAAGACGCCTGTTCTACACTGCAGTAAGATTGAGGCTTGCCAAATATTTGGGCTCCCTGCCTACATGTAGGTCAAGGTCAAGGTTTCCCCTGTCCAGTCGTGCCCGCTGCTCATCTCCATTTCTTAGCCAAGGGAGCCAGCTTTGTCCGAAGGCACTTCTGTGATCATGTGGCCAGCCTGACTATACGCCAAGGCGCACAAAACGCTGTTACCTTCCCACCGATAGTAGTACCTATTTATCTACTCACATTTGCATGCTTTCGCACTGCTAGATGGGCAGGAGCTGGGGCAAGTAATGGGAACTCAACCCCGTCACATGGCACAGGCTGTCCGCTTTCCAGCTGACAAGCTCAGCATCTTTAAGTGCTGAGCCATCGCGCCCCCGGCCTCCATATATGAAATTGCCTATCCGGGGAGTTTGATTCTGCAAATGATGCATTGGCTCCTGTTAGCCTTGTGAAATATGTGAAACCCTGCAGAGCCTATCAGTGCTGACTCCTGATCGATAGGAAGAAAACCAAAGCTGCCTGACTTCATTGCCTATAAAACTTTTGAGACCCAGTGGCATTTTGAGATGTTCCGGTCAAGAGGGCTAGAAACATCTATTCCTTTGTTTGCAATGGTGATTTCAGGTTCCAAGCACACATTTTCTGTCTGAACAGAATCAGCATTGCCCTGGCAAAATGCTTTCATTTAGTTTTAATTTCCAATATATTCCAGTTCAATTGCAAGGCATGCTAACTCTCGCTTTACACTGTCCTCTAATTAGGAAGACTCGAAGTAGTAGTAGCTATGCACTCACAAGAGCAGAGCAGGCCTGTCTGGTCGGCAAGTTAGGAAGAGGTGCAGCAAGGGAACTTCTGCAGTTGCTAATTGCTGCGAAATTGGAACATCCAGTTGGGCTTGTAGCAAAGCTCGTTTTGCACTTGGGAGATGGAAATGTCCCATTCTGCATTACGGAGCACACGTCCTGTCAGGCCCAAGACAGGCTCCTAACTGGGATTTGTTGCCCACCAAATAGAAAACAGGAGCTTGTTCCTTCCTGCTTTGAATGATGTTTTCGATCTTGTAGGCCTCTCTAGAATTGGCTTAGAAGAAAGTTCCACGGATCCTGTCCAAGACCCGGCTCTGGTGGTGCTCACGAGCAGTGCCCTGGTGCTCCTGGTGCTGGTCCTTCTGACGGTCGCCATTCTCTACTGCCAACAGTTCTGGAAGAGCCAGTGCCAGCATGGTGAGTGGGCCCTGTCTGCAGTTGCGCCTCCTTTCCCTACTCTTGCTAAGGGAAATGGGTCTCTCTCCAACCAGGGTTTTCTCTGTCTCAGCCACATTCTTTTTAGTAGTCTCACACAGAGAAAGGAAGATGGCTTGACAGAAACACGCAAGGGATGTCACCTAGGCAAAAGGGGCAGAAACATATTTTTAAGTCGTGAGAAATGAGATAATATTCGGAAGCAGCTCAGGCAAATGATTCCCTGGAATATAAAAAGAGGGGAGGAGATACCGGACAAACAGACTGGCAGATTCCTGACAACCAGCCTCAACAAAAGTTTGGTCTAACTGATGGGGCTGGCCTAAATTTTGCAAGTGTCCTCAACTTACAATCATTCTCTTAGTGACCATTCTAAGTTACAGTGTCACTGAAAAAAGTGACCTATGACTGGTCTCAAAGTTACAACCATTCAACCGCTTCGCAACCATCCTGCGTTTATGACAGGCGCAGGGTCCCAGGGTCAGGTGATCCCCAATTTTCAGCCAGCTTCCAATAAGCAAAGTCAGTGGGGGAAAGCCAGGTTCACTTAACAGCCACATAATTACTTAACAATTGCAATGATTCACTTAACAACTGTGGCAAAAAAGTTTATAAAATGGGGCACAATTCATTTTAACAACAGCCTTGCCTAGCAATGGAAATGTTGGACTCTATTTTGATTGTAAGTAGAGGACTCCCTGTACTCTTTCAAGAGAAGATGAAAAATCTCACATGTGCTGATCAAGATGGCCTCTGATCCTCAAGGTGTATCACTGAGCACCTTGGTGTAGCATTGTTGCAACATCAACAACAGGCAGATTTAAAAAGAACTTGGAAAATTTTATAATGCAACAAACCCGACAGTTGGGAGAGAATTTACTGCAGCTGCCTGCAGCACAGCCGGTACCTCTGCATTCCCCTGGGGGGGCCACCGGAGAGGTTTGGAGAAGACCAAGGCCAATTCTGGACCTTCATGACTCAGTGTGGGTTTCCCACAGATTGCACCAGAGTGACATTTGTGCAGAATTTGCTGAAACAAGAGATGGCCAGAGGGCTCATTTAGGTCAATGACCCCATGCTGAACAATTATAAAAACTTAATGCAAAGATTCATAGGTATTTCAGTGATCCCATGAGATGGTGGACCACCAACCATAACATCTGCAAACCAAGCAAGGTCAGAGTCAAATATGGGCGTACATACTGGGTTTAAAATTATTGACCAGAGATCTGGGATGGAATGATTGGGCTCTAAGTGACCAGCTTAGAGAAGGACTTGCTGAGAGCTAAACTGGTGAAACGAGGCAGCCCAGATACTTTGGAAGATCTGTCCCAGTGTTGCACAATAACAGACGCCAACTAGAATAGCTGAGGCAAGGGAGAAATGCAGCCCCTGTTCTCCTGTAGTCCCCCTTCCTGATGGCTGCCTTTGAATCCAGTTCTGGAGAATCCATGCAAATTGGAGCAGTCAAAAGATTTCTGCCAACTAGGAGAGAAACTGAGGAAGAAGAACTGAAGTTTCTGCTTTTGACATGAAGTTTTTGGGTAGCACCAGAACCTGCATCATTAAAATCCACCCTGTTGACTCAGCTGTGAAATGCCACACTAGGACAGAACAAGCGGGGGCTTCACCCGTTTCAAGATGTGTCACAGGAAACTTTGCAGGCCCTCAGACAATTGAGGAGACCTCAGGTGACTGACAGCAGACAGGCACAATGTATTGTTCCATCACTGTTTATTTAGACTCAGGCCAGGAAAGTACAGCGCTCTGCTCTTGTACCCTTGGGAGCGACTGCCAATTTTATACAGTGGGGCTTAAGAGTTTGCAAATCCTTTTGAATGTTCAGTATTTCTGCATAAATAAATATCAACAAGCTACTAAAAAAGAGCTGAGGATCTTTAGGAGCACTAGTAGTTCTTATGGCTTGACTGGATTAAAGTTCATGTTACATCTGGTTGCTGATGTTGCCATGCAGGAAAAGAAAATCTGAATTACCCTGAGAAAAGAGAGCATATGAAGCATGAACATGGAAAAGCTCAACCCAGTGAAAGATGAAATGAAACAACCACAGATTGGCAAATTGAGATGGACTTGGATCAGACACTTTCGGTCAGAAGATTACATAGTTCATTACTCAGGACATGAAAACAAAGTTGTTGTTCTAATTAGGAAGAAGACTAGTTGTCTATAATGCAGGCAGTGACAGAATAATATCAATTAGACTTTGTAGATGATCTTTCCAGTTCATGTTCCAGCCACCGATGCAGAAGATTAAGTTCAGGTTGAACTCAACAGGATATGCAAGGAAGATGTGCTCCTTGTGATTGGAGACTGGAATGCCAAAAGCCGGAAACATGGAAGATGAAAATTCAGTTGGATTTTATGGCTTAGGAAGATGAAATGAAGCAGAGATTGATTTAGCAGTTTGCCAGGCCAGTGATTTCTTCATAGCTAGCACTGTCTTCAAACAACTAAACTTGGACATCAGCAAATGGCATATACAGAAATCAAATTGCTAACTTATTGCTAACAGGAATAAGGAGAAGAACTCAGTTATAGTATCCAAAATGTGGGTAGGTGCTGACAGTGGCATAGATCAGGAAATGGCTGATGCACAAGCTCTTAAGTTGAGCTAAAGAAGAAAGTCAGTCAGTTTCCACAATATGATTTTGAACATGCAGGCACCATTTTCAAGAAGAACATCAGAAACCATTTTGAATCTTGAACTTCATTGGCTTTAAGGGTAACCACAACTACCTTGAATTGCACATTGGAAGCCGCATGTGCCAAAACCCAATGGCATTAACTGCCTGTACCACCACATTCTGTACCAGCTGAATCTTCCGGGTGTGTTCAAGGGCAGCCGCATGTAGAGGTCACAAGTTCTCACTGTCATGAAATTTCTCCTTAGTTCCAGGTTGCTTCTCTCCTTGGTTAGTTTCCATCCATTGTTTCTTGTCCTGCCTTCTGGTGCTTTGGAGAATAGGTTGACACCTAACCCCTCATCTTTGTGGCGGCCCTTCAGATATTGGAATGCTATCATGTCACCACTAGTCAGGTCATCCAATCTAGGTTGATGCTGTGAAGTTCCAGTGCTATTATCATCTCTACAATTTTCCTAAAAAGGGATGGTTGGAAGTTGTCCAGGACAGTGAAGTCTAGCAATGGCCTCTTGAGGAGGAGGGGACGAACCGCTGTCTCCTTGATAGAGGGTCTGCTCTTTCAAAGAAGAATTAATCACCTCCAAACCCCAACCACATGTCCCTTCCCAGGTAGCCCTGAACATCCAGGAGTGAGATGGATGATACAGAGATGATCGAGCTAACAGCGCAAGGACCCTGTCCATTTCCCTCAAGCCAAATGGGATCAAATTCTTCCCAGATAACTTGAGCCAGATCTGGTCCCAGCAGCCCTCCAGATCTAGCCAGTTTTTGGTATACTGTTGTGGCTCCGTCCGGTGGGTCCCTCTCATCAGAGGAGGAAGGCTCTGAACATGAAGGAGAGGAGATGGCTAGGCCTCCCTCTCCAGGCCCTTCCCCTCTGGTGCAGCCTTCGGTGCCTTCCGACAGCGAGGAGTTTGGCCAGGAGCCCGGTGTTTCTGGGATTGGCCAGGAGCCCGGTGTTTCTGGGATTG